AGTAGTACCAGATGGTATTCAAAATCATTTCATACATAATTCAATTGAGAAATCAAAAAGAAAACAATCAGATGGACATGGCCAGAAACAATGCTCAGGTAGCCTTTGGCACGTTGCTGAATTGGCACTAAGAGGCCTAAAGTGTTCCAGGAAAACATCCCCCACACCATTACACCTCCACCACCAGGCTGCACAGTGGTAACAAGGCATGATGGATCCATGTTCTCATTCGGTTTACGCCAAATTCTGACTCTACCATTTGAATGTCTCAACAGAAATCGAGACTCATCAGACCAGGCAACATTTTTCCAGTCTTCAACTGTCCAATTTTGGTGAGCTGGTGCAAATTGTAGCCTCTTTTTTCTATTTCTAGTGGAGATGAGTGGTACCCGGTGGGGTCTTCTGCTGTTGTAGCCCATCCGCCTCAAGGTTGTGAGTGTTGTGGCTTCACAAATGCTTTTCTGCATTCCTCGGTTGTAACGAGTGGTTCTTTCAGTCAATGTTGCACTTCTATCAGCTTGAATCAGTCGGCCCATTCTCCTCTGACCTCTAGCACCAACAAGGCATTTTGGCCCACAGGACTGCAGCATACTGGATGTTTTTCCCTTCTCACATCATTCTTTGTAAACCCTAGAAATGGTTGTGGGTGAAAATCCCAGCAACTGAGCAGATTGTGAAATACTCAGACCGGCCCGTCTGGCGCCAACAACCGTGCCACGCTCAAAATGGCTTAAATCACCTTTCTTTCCCATTCTGACAGTCAGTTTGGAGTTCAGGAGATTGTGTTGACCAGGACCACACCCCTAAATGCACTGAAGCTACTGCCATGTGATTGGCTGATTAGATAATTGCATTAAAGCTAAGTTGAACAGGTGTTCCTAATAATCCTTTAGGTGAGTGTATGATCACTGTCATGCAAAAACAAAAATATTGGATGTAAATTATGGCTCAACTACTCTCTGTTTTGAAGTGTTTATGCAGTCTAAATGCTAGATTCAAATGCACATTAACTTCACCTCCTCCTCTATTTATCTTTATTTTTACCTTTCTTTGATTTGTAGCACTTTATATTATATACACACACACATGTGTATGTTTTTTTCCCTTGCCCAATTGTTCTTATGAATGATTGGCTGGACAAAATAAAATAAACTTTGGTTTCCAACCCATTCCGATTTTGATTGATCTACTTCACAACCTATACTTGTACAATGAATGAGCTATTGCACATTCACTCGCCTTCTCGGTTGCTCAGGTCATCTGACCAGTTGGTCCTGGACGTTCTGAGGACACAGCGTAAGCTCAGAGGGGACAGAGCAGTTGCTCTTGCTTCTCCTAGAAGATGGAAATCTTTGCCGGCACATTTTAGAAAGACCTCCTCACTGGAAAATTTTAAACCATTTTAAAAGACCCACCTTATTAGCTTGGCTTTCGACCCAGTATGAGTTATTTGATTTCCATTTGATTTTAGTGTTTTTATTTGTCTGTGCTTTAAACTTTTAAATTGTATTTTATTTCATTCTGATTAATGTTTTTATGCTTTTGTGTTCAGCACTTTGGTCAGAGTGGGCTGTTTTTAAAGTGCTTTATAAATAAAGTTGGCTTGGCTATGACAAATCTGCTATGATGCAAAATCAAAATAAACATGTTAATTCATGAATTTAGTTCTTTCTCCTGATGACGGTTTGCTGCTCTCTTGTGGTCAACATGTGTAACTGACCATCACCGGAGTCTACAATGAAGCTCGATTTTGAAAAAAAAAATTAGGGAAAGTTAAGAGAGGTGTATGACAATAGTATGTTTTTAAGCTTAGCCAGTTGATAATAATAAAAATAAAAACACAAAATCTTGATCTTTCTTGGCACCTCGGCACGCTGACGTCATTAGGGGTGGGACTGTCCGAAAGCAGGAAGTGTAACGTCATATTTGTTTTGGATGGACGAAGCAGCAAAGATGGACGACAACGTTCCAGATTTTAAGGTATTTGTGAGTTTTTGTTCGCTGGCATAGTTCTAATTTGTGTCTGTTGATAATCCGAAGTAAAACAGTTCGTTTACGAGTCAAACGGGCTTACATTACATAGACGTTAATGGTGGATCTCGTATGTTAAGAACAGTAGTAATTCTGGAAGCTTCTTTTTGTCTTTTGTCTTCTTAAAACATCTAAAACCTTCATCCGGGGAGCCAGTAACTGTGCGAGTAGTTGAATGTTTATTGTGATTGGTTTTAAAAATGAGTGATTTGTGTACAAAAGAGAATCCACAAGTTTTCTCCAAACCCAGTTCTTGTTGTGACCCTTTGACCTGATGGGTGACTCACCCTTAACCATGTGATCTGAGTCGTTGGATAATTGTTTTACTAATTCACCTGTTATACTGTCAGATGTTTCATGTTGCAAAGCAGCAGCGCAGGTAACATGTCCAGAGTTACTGACCAGAGCCAATCCATCTGATTAGATGTTAGGACAGTCAGTCCTGTCATGTGATGGGATCGTTTGTAGGCTGTTGCTGAACAGTTGATAAACAAAAAGACGTTATGTAATTTTTGCCGACCAAAGGTAAATGGTAAATGGCCTGTATTTGATATAGCGCCTTCTAGAGTTCTTGAAACCCCCCAAGGCGCTTTACAACACAATCAGTCATTCACCCATTCACACACACATTCACACACTGGTGGGGATGAGCTACAATGTAGCCACAGCTGCCCTGGGGCACACTGACAGAGGCGAGGCTGCCGAGCACTGGCGCCACCAGTCCCTCCGACCACCACCAGCAGGCAACGTGGGTTAAGTGTCTTGCCCAAGGACACAACGACAGCGACAGACTGAGCGGGGCTCGAACCTGCAACCTTCCAATTACGGGGCGAGCACTTAACTCCTGTGCCACCGTCGCCCCATACTTTACACAGACCAAAGTAGAGCTTCAGAGCAGATACATCGCTCAATTATTCAGTTATCCTTGATTTAATGGCTGTGTTCTGATTTGTTTTCTTCTCAGCTGATTTTTGAGAAAGAGGGGGTGTACCTCCACACGAATGCCAAGAGGAGTAACCAGGAGACCAGCATACCAGGGTTTATCCGTGTTGTGGAGCGGGTAGGTAGCTGTATTTAGAGATGTATAAAACAAATAAATAAATGAACACTAAAGAACCTGGATAACACTTCCGGTGTTTTCTTTCCTCCAGGCGGGAGTGCCAGCTTTAGAGTGGAGTCCACTGGAGGATGAGGGTCACAGCGCTCCAGCTGTTCTCTACAGCAGAAAGGTTCAGCAGTTAATTGTTTGGCACATGCCAAAAATATGATGTACATACATTTACTAACTATCAATAAAACATGTTTCTGTTCAATTGATTGCTTTATTTTAGGATGGTGAAGGAGGGGAGGAGGATATGAACTTTGACCCAGGATATGAGCCAGACTGGGCAATAGTCAGCTCTGTGAAGAAAGATCGTGAGCATGTTTCGATGAAAGATTCAGGTGCAGCTGTAGTTTTGAACAGTTCTCTTTTTCTTTCGTTCACATAGAAAAATCTCAAATTAAAAATTGTATTCTTTTTTCTCGCAGGCCAGTGGGCTTTCTCTCTGCCGCTCTCAGAACTGTACTCTCTCCGGAGGAACCGCTTTTCCTTGGGTCGGAACTTTCTAGTGCTGACTAGCAAAGGTGGACACCCCCTCCCGCCTCTTCACTTCCACAGAGGAGGAACCAGGGAACTGCTGCGGGCTCTCCACCATTACATCGTCCTGGATCAGTGAGTGCGACCACAGTAATCCCGACAGCAGATGTTTTTACTGTTAACATGTTAGCGGCTTCTTATGTAGTCTGAGTTCACAGTAGACTCATGGCAGATGGTTTCTGTTGTCGTCAGGTCACCAGTGGACGGGCGTCTCTTTCTGTCCTACCCACGTGGCACACATGATGTCTCCCAGCCTTTTGATAAGCTGCAGTTCCTGGATGATGGTGGCTCTGACATTGTTTCGGTAATTATAGAAGACCTTTTGGTTTTCAGCGTTATTGTTTTTTCACCGTTTTTCTGAACATATCCGGTGTGTCCTTGTCCTTCTATCCAACTTGAACAGAGGTTTATCCACGACCCATATGCCACCACGTTTGGTGGATTCTCCAAAGTCACAAACTTCTTTCGAGCAGCACTTCGACCTCCAGACACACCCGTCTCACGGACTCCTCGGGATCCCAATCTGCCTTCACACCCTGACGACGAGCCTGGGTTTGAACTCATCACCTGTGTAAGAAAACAACACCAAATCAACGCATTGTTGTCTCACACAGACTGACTAATGTTTGTTATCGTTTCTCTGTGCAGGGTGTGGAGCTCGGTCCCAGGCCGGATGTAACCAGAGGGAAACCCCTTGATAAATGGGCGGAGTGTCTGGACTCTGAAGGCCGTGTGAAGAACCCAGAGAAAATCAAAGAACTTGTGTTCAGAGGGGTACGAAAGTAAAAAGCATAGCAGACCGTCCTCTATCGGTCTAAACCAGGTGTGCTTGCTTTGATGGGGTTCTTCCATATTGCAGGGTGTCATTCCTTCACTAAGGAAAGATGTGTGGAAGTTCCTCCTGGGCTTTTATCCATGGAACAGCACTACAAAGGAAAGAGAGGACATCCTTCGTGCCAAAACGTTAGTGGTCTTCTTCCTGCTGCCCACACTCATCCCTCACTCATGAAAAAATATGGAGTTCATATTTTTCTAGCTGATTTTCCACCAAGAATTCCTTTTTCTTCCAAAAACTATTAAACAATGGTTTAAATGTTCCTCTGTGTCTGCAGGGACGAGTACTTTAGAATGAAGGTGCAGTGGAAATCAGTCAGCGAGGAGCAGGAGATGAGGAATTCCCTCCTCAGAGGATACAGGAGCTTGATCGGTCAGATCAGCCATCTGCCAAATAAACAAAGTTCTTTTCATTGTTTTTCTGTCAGCTCAGCAGCAGATGTTGATGTTGAGCCGTCTTTGTTCTTTTCTGACAGAGAGGGATGTCAACAGGACGGACAGACAGAATACGTTCTTCTCTGGAAACGACAATCCAGGACTAACTCTGCTTCACGACGTGCTGATGACTTACTGCATGTATAACTTTGATCTTGGTGAGGATTGATGACACACAGAAAAACGTGGTGCACGAGTAACATATTTAGCCGTTTCTGCTTCTTGATTCCAGCTTACAGAGTTTTTGAAACAGAAAAGCAAGCAGTTGTTTTTAAGTTTAGATTCGACTTGAAAATGATGATTCTGGATGTAAAAGCAAGCATTGTTTTGTCTCTAGTGATGGTGAGATCACGGGGAAAATTTAGAATTTGTAATGATGATTAGCAATGGTGCATTCATGGTCCCAGAAAAGATCAGATTTTAGATTTTCAATTTGGTCGGTTACCTAGGAAGCCAGACAGGCTGAATTCTAGCCAATCCCAACATAACACAAACACGTCACATGGGATTAAACCAGCCATTATGGGAACATTATTTCCCACAAGAAGACAAATATATCTAATTTTACAGTGAATTTAAAGGAGCAATATGTTAGAGTTCTACACTGAAATAATCTTAAAGCAGTTTAATTTCTCAATCATGTTAAAGGTTATAAAAAAAGATTAGGGTTAGGTTATGGGGTTTTACTTCCTTTGTTGAGTCGTTTGGAACTGTAACAGCAAGCCAACTGTAAGACAGCAGACAATAACACTTCCTCCAATGCTGGAGAAATATTACCATAATAAGTGTAGTAAGTGTGCACTGCCATAATTACCAAGGAGTGCTAAGATCAGATATGACAGTATATTTATCTATTAATCAACTTACTGTGCATGACTCATCTTTGCTTGTCACCTAGAATCTTCTGGTGCTGAACTGTAGCTGGCAACAGCCATGAAACGCAGGACAGCAGTGAGATTGACATTTTGGCATGCAGTAACCACATTTGACCACAGGATGCCATTTCTACTTCATTCTTACATATTGCATCTTTAAATATAATAATACTACATCTCTAACTGCTGATTTTAGATAGCTGTTCAAAGGATAATGACCTAAAATAGCCTTTTGAGGAGCTAATACATGTTTATGTCAACACACAAAAGTGTCCCTCTGACTCTTTTAGGGGCAGCAGTAGCTCAGGAGGTAGAGCAGATTGTCCAGTAATCAAAAGGTTGCAGGTTCGATTTCGGCTCTGGACAGAGAATTCTGCTGTTGTGTCTTTGGGCAAGACACCTAACCTACCTTGCCCGCTGGTGGTGCCCGTTTCCTGCTTGGAAGGCTGTCAGTGCATTCCAGGGCAGCTGTGGCTACATTGTAGCTCATCACCATCAGTGTGTGAATGTGTGTGTGAATGATACTACTGTAGCGTAAAGCGCTTTGGAGTCCTCTCTGAAAGGCGCTGTACACGTGTAGGTACACGTGTAGGCCATTTGTCACATCTTTGTGTTTTGGTGTCTGTCCAGGTTATGTCCAGGGGATGAGCGACCTTCTTTCTCCAATCTTGTTTGTCACCCAGAACGAGGTGGAGTCCTTCTGGTGTCTGACGGGCTTCATGGAGCTGGTGGTTAGTTGAAAAGTCTTCACCTCTTGTCTTGGGTTGCAGAAGCTAATTTTTGGCATTAGCAACCCAACCACACAGCGGAAACTTCTCCAGGCTTGTGTTAGAGCAAACAGAGTCAGTGGTAGAGTCACGTTGCTTTTAGCCAATCCGAGATGCCAGATTATCAGGAAATAAGACTCCAAATCCTGCCGTGTTAAGCTCTCCTGTGACGTGGCAGACGTGTCGAGCTGACACAGGTATTTCTTTTAATTTTTGCCCTGACTACGGCTTGCAAGGCATTGATTCCTTCCAGAGACCACTGTATTGATTAAACAAGTTTCCCCACATCTTTTATATCAAATCTGGGGCCAAACGACACCAAAAGATTCTGTTTCCCTCATTTTGCTTTTGCAGCACCAGAACTTTGAAGAGTCTCAGGAGGCCATGAAGAAGCAGCTCGATCAGCTCAGTATCCTGCTGAAGGCTCTGGACCCAGAGTTGTTTGACTTCCTCGGTGAGTCAGCTAGTACTCATCCAGTCAGACTGGGTTAGAGTCAAATAAACTTTAATCGGTCCTGAGGCAAAACCGAGCATTTGCATCAAAGATTATTGCAAAAGGTTGGTAAAAAACTAAAGAACAAAGCTAATGAGATGATTTTATAGAAACACTTGTTAAAGTTATGATTGCCTATGCTCTTGGAGTCTGCAGAATTTGTACACATCATCTTGTGTGAGCATGTAATAGAAATAAGAAAGAGCTTATGAACAAAGCAAAGGCAAGTTTACATTTTTAGTCAGTGAAAAACAGGAAAATCAAGTCTGTTTTTTGTTGTTTAGACTCTCAGGACAGCGGCTCGCTTTGCTTCTGTTTCCGCTGGCTGCTCATCTGGTTCAAGAGGGAGTTTTCCTTTGAGGACATCCTTACATTATGGGAGGTGAGTGTTTTACTGTGGTATTAGTACAGATGTTATAAAAAGTCTTACGATATTCTCTAAATGTTTAAAGATCTATAAAAGTCAGAGTTAGAGCGTGTGCTAGTCCGTCATTAGGAAGACGGACTTTCATTTTTGCATTTTATCCACAGTTCTAAAGCAGCTGTAAGTTAGAAAATGTTAAAGACACTGTCCAAAAAAACCGAGTCGGTTCAAAGTTCGAGTCCTAAGAGGTCCTTGAGTGAGCAACATGATGGGAGAGAGACTCGAGGATGCTGAAAACACTCAAGTCTGTGTCCTGTTAACTTACTATGAGTTTTTGCAGATTTGCATTTTCCAACATTCCATTTTCTTCCTCAGGTCCTCTGGACTCGACTCCCATGTGACAACTTCCACCTGCTGATCGCCTGTGCGATCCTGAAGTCCCAGCGAGGAGAGCTGATTGGATCAAATCACGACTTTAACACTATTCTGAAAGTAGGACACTTTTACAGACAACACCGGTGTTGTATCAAAGCCAACATGTTTTCATCTTCCTCCTTCTGATTGGTCTGCAGCACATTAACGAGCTGACGATGAAGCTGGACCTGCAGGGTATCCTGCAGGAGGCAGAGGCCATTTACCTCCAGCTGGTCCAGTGCAAGGTGAGGTAGCCTCCACTCCTCAAGGTTCAGCCATGAGTCAGCCTGTCCTTAAAAGATCTGAGTGTTGTATTTATAAACAGCACAGCTAACAGTGGGTAATTCATGGAAGAGTTCTTGGACATTTCAAATCATAACATTTGGCTGAAACAATTCTACGATGCCACAAATGCGCCCCCCCTCCCCATCCATCCACCCATCCATCCATTTTCATCTGCTTATCCGGAGTCGGGTCGCGGGGGCAGTAGCCTAAGGCGAGAGGCCCAGACTTCCCTCTCCCCAGCCACTTGGGCCAGCTCCTCCGGGGGAATCCCAAGGCGTTCCCTGGCCAGGTGAGAGACATAGTCCCTCCAACGTGTCCTGGGTCTACCTTTAGGTCTCCTCCTGGTTGGACGTGCGCGGAAAACCTCACCAGGGAGGCGTCCAGGAGGCATCCTGACCAGATGCACGAGCCACCTCAACTGGCTTCTCTCGATTTGGAGGAGCAGCGGGTCTACTCCGAGCCCCTCCCGAATGGCCGAGCTTCTCACCCTATCTCTAAGAGAGAGCCCAGCCACTCTTCGGAGAAAACTCATTTCGGCCGCTTGTATCCGCGATCTCGTTCTTTCGGTCACTACCCAAAGCTCATGACCATAGGTGAGGGTAGGACTGTAGATCGACCGGTAAATCTAGAGCTTCGCCTTCTGACTCAGCTCTCTCTTCACCACGACAGACCGGTACAACGCCCGCATCACTGCAGATGCAGCACCAATCCACCTATCGATCTCACGCTCCAGTTTTCCCTCACTCGTGCGCAAGACCCCGAGATACTTGAACTCCTCCACTTGGGGCAGGATCTCATCCCTGACCCGGAGAAGGCATTCTACCCTTTTCCGATTCAAGACCATGGTCTCAGATTTAGAGGAGCTGATTCTCATCCCAGCTGCTTCTCACTCGGCTGCGAACCGCTCCAGCGAAAGCTGAAGATCACGTTCTGATGAAGCCAACAGGACCACATCATCTGCAAAAAGCAGAGACCTGATCCTCAGGCCACCAAAACGGATGCCCTCCACACCTTGGCTGCGCCTAGAAATCCTGTCCATTAAGGTTATGAGCAGAATCGGTGGAAAAGGGCAGCCTTGGCGGAGTTCAACTCACTGGGAATGAGCCCGACTTACTGCCGGCAATGCGGACCAAGATCTGACACCGGTCATACAGGGACCTAACAGCCCGTATCAGAGGGCCTGGTACCCCATACTCCCGGAGTACCCCCCACAGGGCCCCCCGAGGGACGTGGTCAAAGACCTTCTCCAAATCCACAAAACACATGAAGACTGGTTGGGCAAATTCCCACACACCCTCCAGGATCCCCCTAAAGGTATAGAGTTGGTCCAGTGTTCCACGGCCAGGACGAAAACCACATTGCTTCTCCTGAATCTGAGGTTCAACAATCCGACGGATCCTCCTCTCCAGAACCCCTGAATAGACCTTACCAGGAAGGCTCAGGAGTGTGATCCCCTGTAGTTGGAACACACCCTGCCGTACCCCTTTTTAAATAAGGGGACCACCACCCCGGTCTGCCGGTCCAGTGGGACTGCCCTCGATGTCCGCGCGATATTGCAGAGCCGCGTCAGCCAACACAGCCCCACAACATCCAGAGCCTTAAGGAACTCTGGGTGGATCTCATCCACCCCTGGAGCCTTGCCACAGAGGAGCTTTTTAACCATCTCAGTGACCTCAGCACCAGAGATTTGAGAGGCCAACCCAAAGTCCCAGACTCTGCTTCCTCACTGTAAGACGTGTCCGTGGGATTGAGGAGGTCTTCGAAGTATTCTTCCCACCGATCCACAACGTCCTGAGTAGAGGTCAGCAGCACACCATCCCCACTATAGACAGTGTTGGTTGCGCACTGCTTTCCCCCCCCGAGGCGCCGGATGGTGGACCAGAATCTCCTCGAAGCCGTACGGAAGTCTTGCTCCATGGTCTCACCGAACTCCTCCCATGCCCGGGCTTTTGCCTTGGCCTTCATTCACCAGGTAATGGTCAGTTGACAGCTCACTCTACACACACACACACACACGCACGCACGCACGCACACACACACACACACTGGCCAATTTATTGGGTTCACTTGTCCAACTGCTCGTTAACTTTCTCCTCCTTGCAGCCCAACTTTAATTGTCTTCAACATGCCATCTCCCACCTTCCTCTTTCTTTAAACCCAAGTAAAACAAAGTCCATGATCTTCAAATTTATCACTCTGCAATCTTTTTAGTCACTGGTGACCCTTTCAATACTCATCATTGTGATCTGTACTCACTCATTAACTGGCCATCACTCCACTCCTGCAGGTTGTTACATCGGTATCAGTTCATATACAAAACCATCGTCGGTAGAACCCCGTCACATCTTTGCTCCAGTAACTGAATCTCTATGGTCATTCCCAAAGCTCGCACCTCCTTTGGCCACTCCTCATTTGTTTGCTGCTTCCAACGACTGGAATGAGCTGCAAACATCACTGAAGCTCACCACCTACATTCCATTATCTACCTTCAATAATTCATTGCAGTCAATAGTTTCTGATCAATGTGTCTGCTTCTGAGTTCTTAAAGACTGTTTTAAGTCTGTTTTGATTGCTTGTTCATATTCTATATATGAGAACAGTCCTTTGTCTTTATCTCCAACTGTTTTATTTTTATCTTGTATGTTTTTATCTCATCTGTTTTCTTTGATGTGAAGCTAACTATGTGTCTGTTGCTGCTGCCTCTTGGCCAGATTGTCGTCGTAAATGAGAACGAGTTCTCATTTGACTCATCTTGTTAAATAAAGGTTAAATTAACGCAAATTACTAATCAGCCTATCACACGGTGGAAACCGAATGCATTAAAACATGTTGACGTGGTGAAAACGATCCGCCGCTGTTCAAACCAAGCTTCAGAATGGCATGGTTGTTGGTGCCAGATGGGCTGGTCAGAGTAGTTCGGAAACTGATGATCTTCTGGGATTGTCACGCACAACCACCTCTAGGGTTTACAGAGAATGGTCCAAAAAGGGAAAACATCTAGTGAGCGGCTGTTCTTCGGGTGAAAATGCCTTGTTGATGCTAGCGGTCAGAGGAGAATGGCCAGACTGGTTCCAGCTGATAGAAAGGCAACAGTAACTGAAATATCCACTCGTTACAACTGAGGTATGCAGAAGAGCATCTCTGAATGCACAACACGTCAAACCTTGAGGCAGATGGGCTACAGCAGCAGAAGACCACACCAGGTACCACTCCTGTCAGCTAAGAACGGGAAACTGAAGCTATAATTCACACAGGTTCACCAAAAATGGACAATAGAAGATTGGAAAAATGTTGCCTGGTCAGATGAGTCTCGATTTCTGCTGCAACATTCGGACGGTAGGGTCAGAAGTGGGTGAGATCCTTCCACCATTGAAAAGCAGGTCCAGAGTAAATTCTTGGCTAGTTTCTGAGGCGTTTTTCAGCAAGTTTATTCTGTGGGCTTGTCTTCAAGTAGAACCAGTAGAACCAGGCAGTCGTAGAATCGGTATGTTTTGTTGCTGTGAAGGCAGTTGTAGCCGCTCCGTGATTGTGTCTGTAAATAGCTGAAAAATGCCGCTCAGTCTAGGACTTCCACAAGCGCACATACACACTCTGTGTGGTTGACATCTGTACATAAGCAGATGTCTAACACCATCAGCTAATGCTGAGTGGTGCTCAAGTAAAATTGCACGAGGCTCTTTGGGATGGGTGGTGGGCTGAACAACAAAAATATTGTCGTATTGCCTACATTATATCACAGTACAGGGTCAGAGTATCACTTTTACAGATTTCTTAAAAAGGGGGAAACTATGTTTTATCAATCCGTTATTGTTTTTGTCATTATAAACCTGCATATTTGATCATTTGTCCTTAGTTTCCTAAATCTATCATTTAAGTTTACAAAAAGAACCCCAGAAAGTTAACTTTAAGCCCCTGAAAGCTGCTAAATAACACACCTCCCTTTGTCTCTCTGCCCTCCCCCTGTCCATCACAGGATCTTCCTCTCAAAGTTCAGCATGTTCTGGGCCTCTACATCCCAAACAGCTCTGAGGAGAACAGCCCAGATTCCCAGAGCAGTGAGACACAACGTCTCCTCAGCCAGTCAGAGGCAGGAGCAGCTTCACCTTATGTCTCCACCCATCCTTAAGGAGGCACGTGGTGTCCACAGGACAGCTGGACTGACAGTGACTCAGAACTGGATGGATATTTATATATGAAGTATATGAACACAAATGTATTAACCATACTTGGTGACGACTGTTGTTACTATATGCCACAGACAGAGGGCACTGTTGTGGCACTTTCCTTTGAGTTTGTTATTTGAATGTTAGATTTTGTGCTGCAGTCATCATTGTGTGTCGTTTTTTTCACACCTCTGTGTTTTTTTCCTGTTTTTCAGCATTTTTTCCTCCTCTTCATCCCTCTCTTTGATGCTGCTGTTTTTCTGACTGTATAACTTTGTATTTCCTTAGCTTACATTCGGTGGATTTTGAAGTTTTCTTACCTTCTAACTGTATTTCAAAGGGGAAGATGATGAAGGGTGAACTAGGGCAGCACCTTGTTAGTGATTTATGATGCCATTGCGACCCTATGCAAACGTTTTGCATGCCTTGTAATTTTCGTGTGCTGCTTGGTATATTTTACACCATGACAGTTTCTTTTAATGTACTCGCATTTTTATCCTCTGCAAATTAACAAATAAATGTTTGAATTCAACCGAAACAAGGTGGGTGATCCATTTCTTGATCATCTTTTATTTGACTAAAGACAGCAGTTATTGTTTGTGTTTATTAGTGGAAAGTGGCAAGGGACATTTTATTTTACAAATGTTCAAAGTACAAGTTTTCTGTTTTACTTGACCAAATAGGATTAGAATGAGATAAATTACTTGTTTGTGCCTCCTAAAGGTACTGTCTGGAGTTTTACCATTTCAGGAATCGTGATATATAGTGTAGGAAATATGTCTTTTTTTTTTTTTTTTTTTTTGCTAAGCCCACCCCCTATCCTGTAGAGCTCTATGCAATAGGAACTGAGCGTCAGTCAACATTAACCAGTAGCGTAAGACTACCGCTCATGTACAGACATGAATTACACAGCGTGCTTGAGCGTTTCAGGACGTACCTCGGTCGAGGCACAGTTGGTGACCTTTCTCATGGACAAATAAGTCTTTAAAATATAAGACTATGAATACACGGCATAATAATTGTAAAACAACATGTTTTAGCTCCGTTCTGTTGGCTAGGGGAGCGCGTTCATGAAGAGAGGTATTGCTTTCAGCTGTAAATATGGAAATGAAACAACGTCTTGGTGTGATATGCTCGTCAGCCACTAGATGGTGGCATCAGATTAAATAAATAGTCCAGTCATCTCCTTTAAACGGAACATAATTGGCAAAACTCATATTTTACATTCTTTTGTGCTGCGATGCAGGAGTAACTCTGAAATTCAGTTCTGCAGTTTGGTTATCGACTTTGCTGTCATCTCATCTCATCTGTGGACCGCTGTGGCCGCATGTCTTGGACACTCAGGTGACGAGAGGGGCGGAGCCGTCAACTGACCACTACCTTGTAGTGAGTTGGCTTCGGTGGTAGGGGAGTATGCCGGTCAGACCTGGCAGGCCTAAACGTATTGTGAGGGTCCGCTGGAAACATCTGGCAAAGTCTCCCATCAGAAGGAGCTACAATTCTCACCACTGACAGAATTTCCCACACGTCCAGTTGGGAGGCAGGGGACACTGAGTCCCAGTGGGCCATGTTCTGTTTGTAACAACTTGGTTAAATAGAAATGTCCCTCGTGTTGTTACAAGTTTTTATGAGTTGCCACCAATTTGTCCTTTGTTTACTTGGGTTTAGTATTCTGAAAACACGGACAGAAAAACAAAAATCTTCCATCTGGAAAAGAATGAGACGCTTTCTGGGATTGAGAAAACCACAGAGGTGGAAAAAGAAGGACTAATCCAACAAATGACTAAATTCGCTGTCCTTCAAATCTCCTACCCCAAATCTAAAGAAACCCAGAAAATAAACTAGGGGAAAAAAAACGGGGTTGCATGGTGGAACAGTGGATAGCACTGTTCCTTGACTGGAAAAGGTTGCAGGTTCAAATCTGAACTGAATATTTCTTGCTTGGAGTTAGCATGTTCTCCCCATGCACAGGGCCAGATTTAGCCAGCCCTACAAAGGGGTGCAGGTAGAATATCGGGGGTGCAGGTCTGGGAAATAATTTTTCGGGTGTCACATACCCCCAAATCCTTAAAATGCATAGAAAACTATGCTATCATCATTACAGTTCTTCTATCCATATATATTTTTTCCTTTGATCCAACGTAGACTATCCTCTGCATTTACCCGGGCTTGGGACCGGCACAAATGGAACACTGGCTTGTTCCCTATTGGAGCTGCATTAATCTTCTTTCTTTCTTTCTTTCTTTCTTTCTTTCTTTCTTTCTTTCTTTCTTTCTTTCTTTCTTTCTTTCTTTCTTTCTTTCTTTCTTTCTTTCTTTCTTTCTTTCTTTCTTTCTTTCTTTCTTTCTTTCTTTCTATCTATCTATCTATCTATCTATCTATCTATCTATCTATCTATCTATATCATCATCATCTAATTTTTTAGTGTTTTTATCTTTATATGTTTTTTATCTATCTTATCTGTCTATCCTTCCATTTTTATTTTATTTTTTATTGTACTTATATATATGTTTTTTTTTTAATAGAATTTTTGTTGTTATTTCTTTAGGGCTTTTATCAGTCATTACAGCATCAGCCGTCTTCTTTTCTGTGCAAGTCCTAACAAATCCATCCATGGGCCTGTTGTTATGGCCTTCTCGTGAGCCAGAATGACTCCCGTTTTCTACCTCCACTGGTCTTTTCCAGTGCGCCCTGGGTTCCCGTTTTATTAATAAAACATTATTTTACCCTGAGATCTGTGTGAGAGTGTGATTCTGCATGTCTTGGGTTAAACTCGTTCCCCAGACCATGTCAGAATCATCCGGCCAGCCCACTAACCCCGCAGATCCACCTCTCACTAATTTGCTCCACAGGTTGTTCCAACAGGAGCAAGCTCTGCCGCTGCTGATGGAGCAGCTACAGGCAGCTAACCACCGGTACCAGCAGTTGGAGGCCATGGTACGGCAGGCCCACGACAGGCTGTCCCAGCCGCAGCCTCCGGCCCCCGCCATGGAACCCCCGCCGGCCACCTCAGCATCTGTTGCCCCCGAGCCGGAAACAACAACGCACACGGAAGTCACCCACTTCTGTCCAGCCTCTTCACCGCCATCTCAGACCTTTAGTGGTGAGTTCGAGGATTGTTTCAGCTTCCTTTTACAATGTAGACTCGCATCTGAGCGCTCACCAGAAGCCCTTACCAGGGATTCCACTAAGATTCCATACATCGTTGGATTACTTCGTGGAAGAGCACTGAGGTGGGCGAAAGCGAAGAGTCACTGTCCCACCTTCCTGTCTGGTCCCTTAGAGGATTTTTTAATGGATTTTAAGTTGACTTTTGGCAGTTCCGAGTCCGTTAAGGACATCAGAAGACGGCTGTGGAAATTAACGCAGGGGCAGAGATCGGTGGCTGATCTATCGGTGGAGTTCAGGACATTGGCAGCCCGTTCTTCCTGGAATGAAGACGCCCGTCTCGCTGCCTTTACGGAGTCCCTCAATTACCATATCCGGAATCAGCTGGCGCTGTGTCCGGAACCCCAGTCTCTGGAGGAACTAATCTGCCTGGCGATATCCATCGATAAGCGCCACCATGAGCTGCGTTACCAGAGCCCCAACGCCAAGACCTCCCCTACTCCTGACCAAAATCATGGTTCAGGGGGGCCCGCTCCTCCACTGAGCCCCCCTCCGCACTTCCTCCTCACAGAGCGTTTGACTGCAGCATAGATCTGCTGCCCGGAGCGCCTCTTCCCTCCAGCCAACTTTATCACCTCTCGAAGCCACAGAGAGAGAGCATGGAGAGCTACATTCAGGAGTCTCTGGCCGCTGGTCTCATCTGACCGTCCTCCTCACCCCTGGATGCGGGTTTTTTCTTTGTCCCCAAAAAGGAGGGAACGCTCAGACCCTGCATCGACTACAGAGGTTTAAATCAGATAACTGTAAAAAAAAATAATACCAATTGCCTTTGCTAACCTTTGAGCCCATTCAGGATGCTACGATTTTCAGCCGGTTGGACCTCAGAAACGCTTACCATCTGGTACGGATTCATCAGGGAGACGAATAGAAGACTGCTTTTAAGACACCAATTGGACGTTATGAATATTTAGTAATGCCTTTTGGTTTGACTAATGCCCCAGCCGTTTTCCAGGCCCTTGTGAACTCTGTGTTGGGAGACTACATAAACAAGTTTGTCACCGTCTACTTAGATGACATTTTAATTTTCTCCAGTTCTGAAGAACAACATATTAAGCATGTCAGGTTAGTGCTGCAGCACCTCCTGGAAAACCGCCTTTATGCTAAAACGGAGAAATGTGAGTTTCATGTCCCTAGAGTAAAATTTCTAGGTTTCATCACAGAGAGTGGGAAGTTAAGGGCAGACCCTGAGAAGGTCCGTGTGGTCACTGAATGACCCACACCGTCCACCCGCAAACAACTTCAGAGGTTCCTTGGGTTCGCAAACTTCTACAGGCGGTTTATTCGGAACTACTGCCAGACCGCCGCCCCTCTGACTAACCTTACCTCTATTAACCGCCCTTTTGTTTGGTCCCCAGAGGCTGAGGCTGCATTCCAGATGTTAAAGAGGAGATTTACTAACGCCCCTGTGCTCCACAGACCAGATCCTCTACACCAGTTCACTCTGAAAGTGGACGCCTCAGACACCGGTGTAGGCACGGTGCTTTCTCAGGTATCTCCCTCAGACAATCGACTTCATCCCTGTGCTTTTTACTCTCGCCGCTTGACCCCCACAGAAAGCAGATATGACATGGGCGACACAACTTCTGGCTGTGAAGCTGGCAATAGAGGAGTGGAGACACTGGCTGGAGGGAGCTGAGACGCCGCTTATCATCTGGACGAATCACAAGAATCTGGTCTACCTAAGAGAGGCAAAGATGCTCAACCCGCAGCAATACAGATGGTCCCTTTTCTTCTCCCGCTTCAACTTCCAGATTTCGAACCATCCTGGACCAAAGAATACCAAGCCTGATGCCCTCTCCAGGCAGTACGCTCAGATCATGAGGAGGAATCCTCCACAATACTCCCCCCAGACTGTTTGGTGGGTGGAGTCACGTGGGAGATCCGGGATCAAGCGTTGGAGGCACAAAGGACTGACCTGGGTCTAGGTAAGGGACCTCCTGGCCGGCTCTATGTGCCACAGGCTATGAGAGGAAAGGTCATCCACTGGGCACACACAGGCAGGTTCTCCCTACACCCAGGAGCTGGACGCACAATTGTCCTCATACGTCAAACTTTCTGGTGGCCTGCGATGTATAAGGATGTAAAAGACTATATTTCAGGTTGCCATGTCTGTGCCCAACAGAAGGGGGACCGTAGGCCTCCGGCGGGGTTGTAAAACCCCCTTCCGACTCCTGCTCGCCCCTGGTCGCACATAGCGTTGGATTTCATCTGTGGTTTACAAGACTCCCAGGGTTTTACTACTATTCTCACCATCGTGGACCGATTTTCTAAGGCCTGCCACCTCATACCACTAAAGACTCTCCCTTCTTCCACAGTTACTGCGAAGTTGCTCATTAAACATGTCTTCCGGCTTCATGGTATTCCAGAGGA